CAATCATTTAGCACCTGTTCCATTCTGGGCTACCTGCCCCTGCTTGACTTCCACTTACTCTGGGATAGAGCAAATGCATGGAACAATTACAGCTAAGTTCCTAGCCACCAGCCACATTTACAGTGACAACAGCAGAACGTACAAACTGAGATCAGGGCCACGTTGTGCTGGTTGCTATACACTATCGGTGCAAGACAATATCCCTCCCCCAAAACCTGGCACAGCAAATACACCATCAGAGTATTATCATCTCCATTTCACCAACAGGAAACTGAGGCACAGAGACTAAGTGGCTTGCCCATGGTTCCAAAGGAAGTCTGTGGCAGATCCAGGAATGGCACTCAGTTTCCCAGGACAGTGGCATATCCGGGAATGGAGATTTGGGTCAGCACCTATACACAGCAAATGAGTGGTACCCAAAGGTCGGATGTCATAAGAAATCATTTATATTGCTAATGACTGGAAACCATTAACCCACTCTGATATATTAAATATCGCATCATTACATCTGCTATATGTTAAAAAAAATACCCTGTCAGGTACCTGAGCTCCTACTTCCAGAGTGTATCATTTAAAAAAATGTCATTTAAATAAGCGTTCAAATAAGCTCAGATTTGGGTGTCCTGGGTGTTAGTTGGACAGCCCACGGCTTACTCAGACACAGCTATAGCTACCTCCCACCCAGAGATCCCTCTCAGTGCTTTTGCAGTGCTGCAGCTTTGCTATTTAACTGTTAGAACTAGGGTTGGCAAGCTGGTCAATTGACTGGGCAACTATTGTCAACTGACCGGTCAAGTGCCGGAATACTTTTTGACTGGTCACAGATTATATTAATTTTACCAAATAACTACCTTTTTTGTAGTTTTCTTGACAGAAATAAGATTTGTTCACTTTTTTGACACATTACTTAATGGGAAAGTTGTGCTTTCTCTGTGCATTATTTGGACCTATTAGCAATTTTTTACAATTTTTTTTAACAAGATTTGACTGATCAATTGACCAAACTTTATTTGATCTGTCAAATACCCTAATTAGTACCCTGGTTGCTTATGGACCCTTTGCACCTCAGGAATGGCAATAAGAGCCTTTGTAGCAGCCTCAAGGGTGGGTGCAAACCTTTCTAATATAGGTGCTACCTGCCCCTGATGGGGAGGAGTTGGGGTCTGGCCTGGAGTCAATACAGGCTGCAGTGTTCCAGCTGTCTCAGGCCAGCAGAGCAATGCAGGGGGGATTCACCTGCATAAATTAAAGCAGAGCTCTACATTTTGGAAGACTGCTGCAAGCTCCCAGCTGGATGAAAGGGAGGAGCAGGCTGCTTTAGAGCCCACTTTCAGGGGTGTAAATTGTAGCCGTGTTGGTCTAAGGCAGGGGTGGGCAAAATGAAGCCTGGGGGCCGGATGCACCCTGCTAGGCCATTCTATCTGGCCCACGGGGCCCCTAAAAAATTTAGAAAATTAATATTTATCTGCCCTCAGCTGCCTGTCATGCGGCCCTCCATGGCTTGCCAAAACTCAGTAAGCAGCCCTCCACCTGAAATAATTGCCCACCCCTGGTCTAAGGACATAGGCAGAGAAGGTTCTTTGGGTAAATCCAGTATCTTTTATTGGATCAGCTCAGATTTGAGTTAGTCTAATAAAAGATACTGGATTTACCCAAAAACACCTAGTCTGCCTTAGAACCCACTTTGCATTCTGGCTTGCTGGCTGCTTGCGAGGATTTCCACCCAGGGCCCTGTTTGCAGGGCTCTGCTAAGAGTTCTGTAGTGCCATTAGCAGCATAGTGCTGCGGAGCCTTCCCCTGCTGCTCTGCCAGCTTCCTCCAGCTCCAGCCCTTGTGCCAGGGGTTGCAGTGCTGCCTTTCCAAGCACGCACTCCTCCCTCCGACAATGCAGGTGCAGAAGCAGAATGCTCACTTTGTTAACTGCGCTCTCTACATGTTCTGCTGCTTAATTGCCTGCAATGGTCTTGATTTACTCCAGTGCCAGCCTGATGGAATGTGCTTCATTACCCATTCCGCAAAGCACTTTGTATCTTATTGGCCTGTAATGAAGCAGACAGAGTACCCGGCAGAGTTGCCGCATTTTAAGAAGGGGAATTGATAGGAGTGAGAGAGAAGGGGGGGAAGAAAGGGAATTGTGGAGTCGATTTCTCTTTTTAACCCATTAGCTGCTCGATAGAAGTCAACCTCTTGTCTACAGGGCACTCAGTAGTATGGTCGAGGTCTGGCCAGAAGGCTGGGCCCTCTCCCCTCTGTGAAGCAGATCTTTATTGCCAGGAGTGTGAGCTGGGGGCACTTACTGCATCTGGAATCCAAGACTGCAGGTGGTTTCTAGACAAACCTCTCTCACCCTTTACAAGTCACAGACCCCTTATTTAAAGTCAGAAAGCTCCATGACCTTCTTTTTAGTAGCTGTACAAAAGTAGAGCAATGGGCCTTTAACAGAGAGGGCCGTATTCTTGATTTGTGTATGTGCTTCTGGAGGTGGGTGAAGATACTTGGCCGTTCCAGGGAAGGATACATAGGGAGTGGAAGAGCTTGATTTCTCTTTGCTTTACAATGCAATATGTTTTGCAAGGCTCCTGACCCCCACCTCCTGACTGTTCGTCATAACTGCTCCTGAGGGGCTGTGGCACACTGCTTGAGAAACCCTCTTCTAGCGCTCCTGGCCTATGATGTAGCCTCTTCACTGGCCATCCCATAGCAGTTGGACTATGACCACTGACATTTGTGAACCAGTGATTTTACCCCCTGTATCATGTCTTGCTGCACATGTCACCTGAAGAAGGGGCATTTCTCCTTTTTATGTATTGTTCCTCAGTGGGTCTGTGATTTCAAAATCTCGACCCTGCCTACCAGTGAGGGTCTTCTGGGAAGCAGTTAGAGGGTCTTGATGGAAGAAAAAGGCATTTCTCTGCCAGGCGGCTTGAAATCACAGCGATGGCATCAGGCTTCCCCTAGGTGTAAAATAGTAGCAAGAGTGGCATGGACTGGCAAGGAAGAGTGCAGCCAAGGTGATCAGCAGCGAGTGATAAATGCAGTCCAGACAAGAGCTAGTTCTCCTATAGCTGTATCCAAAGAGAGACCTATTTTTCAGATGGGGCAACTGAGACACAGAGCAGTATCTCTCAGCAGTGTCTCTCTGGCAGAGACCGAACTAGAATAGAGGTCTCCCTCTAGGCTCTAGCTTCTAGATCACGTGTGGCTCTGTGGTTTATCACATAGATAGCAACCGCTCATGCATGTGTGCCTGGGTTGGACTGAGGGTCTAGTGGGCACGTTACAAATGCTTCAAATGCACATTGCTTACTCGTACCTGATTACATGACAAAAACATGTAAAGTACTATGATGTACTCATGTTCATGTAGTGTTTGCACCCCAGATACTAGTCAGTGGGGCTTTGACAAGCATAAATTGCCTTAGCTCCTTTGATTTCCACCATCCTGTTGTCCTAGCCCCATGTGATCCTGTCCTCCTTGCCACAGCCATCAACATGAGAGAGGAAAGTGTCACTTGCAAGAAAGTCTAATGAAACACAGGGTGCCCCTCCAGAGTGGGGGCGCTCTGTCAGGCAGCCTGGCGGAGCATGTGCCGGCAGTGCTGGTGGCAGCCTGGGAGCTGACAACCTTTCCCGCGTCCTGATATCTATTCCTTTTGCCTGCTCAGGGGAATGCTCCGAGAACTCCAAGTGCTCTTTGATCTGCTTTGAATCGATCTCAGATGTTCCCAGCACTTCTGGGTAGAGACAGGCTTTCAGCAATTAGCCGGTGGCTTGTGTTGGCTCAGCTCCCAGCTGGGGAAATCCCTGTTTGATGGAAGGATGGGAATGGCATGTCCTTTGCAAGGGCATCTTGCTGCGTCTCATTTTTAGTTGTCTGCCTCCAGCCAAGGGGATGCAGCCAAGGCTCACCCCTTCCCTCAAACCATTCATTATTAGCCTGCTGTGGCATCTTCCATCAGAACATAGGATCTTTGCTCCAATTTGAGGCTAATCTAGGGAAATTCTGTCCGTGTCTATCCAGCAAACCACAAACCATAGAGTTTTATGATACAGGTCATAACCA